TTTGAGGCAGTCAAAGTGGAAGAAAACCCCAAAGAGCATGGATAATAATACCTAATCAATATTTTCTGATGAAAATATACAGCACTTGCTGTTTTATTTCATCATTTGATTTTGATAGCTGGGGAAAATATGGCATTATATAGTGATACTGCAATATCGTGATAATATCGTATTGTGACCCAAGTATCGCGACATGTATTGAATCGCAACACTCATGCCAATACTCACCTCTACTGTCAATGATATGTGGGACAAAATTCTAAATAAGATATTGCTGCTTATGAAGGTTGATAATCACTGATGCATCTTAAAGGGAAGCCATCCATCTATCCATAGACTGACAGACAGACGGACATTAACCTAATGAAAAGCATTTTGGTCACGTAACTGTAGGTCCATCAGCCACCACTAGAGTGTCCCCACCAACTTTCACACCCTTGAATATAAACAATAAAAAGTCTGTCACCACAGCACAATGAATGAACCCCACCTTTTAGTGCAAATTAGCCGAACATACTGCAGCGAACCTACTTAAGCAAAACCTGTGAGCCCAAGTAAAGTAAGTCACGGTGGACAAAATTAAAAACCTAGCGGCCTACTTTGACGCTGTCTGGATCGTGGGACTTTTGCAAGATATTTGCAAATATTCCAGATTCCACTTTAATCCACACAGTTTAACACGGACACAACTGCTCGCAAGCAGTGGATTATGTTTGCATGGCTCATTCTCATTAGAATGATTAGCTTTTAGATGCAAAACCCCATCATGCATCGCAACATATTTTTGCTAAATATTCAAACATAAATTTGACAAATATAAGAGGAACACTGTAGTTTGGTTTAAAGAAAGCATTTTAGCTTTATCATAATTTAGTTTGTTGCAAGGATTTTACACTTTGAAGAAATAGAAAATGACACCATTTGCCAACGGTCACTAGGATGTGCATGACAAGGAAGGCCTATATATACTGCATGCATCATTTAAGTAGTTAACATTGGATTACTTCTTGAGCTCCTTGAGTTATTTACTGTCAGAGGTAGGGGCTTTGGCCAGAGATTAAATGTTGGGACCGGTATGATTTAAGGAGGGCCGGCCCTCGCACAGTGAAATTAGCGCCGGCCCACCAGTATCACAGATTACCAGTCCGAGGCTGAGCGTCACAACATTGCACCAGTCACGTGTGAGCAGCTCTGTTGAGGGGGAGTCAGATGGATTAAACACACCGATTACGCTCTGGCTCCATGTTCCTCTGCACTGTTTACTTTCCTGATTTCTGTCACACTGGTGACATCATCAATGCTAACCCAGCATGATGGCATGACCAAACATTATGATTAACTTCATCACACTGTTGAAGAACAATGTAGTGTCTTTAGTCAGAGGCTTCTATAGACTTTGCTGTGACACAGACCACTACAGGACCAGGTACATCCAGCTATAATATCTACAGAAACCTGTCAGAGAACAACATTTCCTCTACAATAAAACTAAAGAGTTTTTGCATTGAATTGAATCAAAATAAAATAAAAAATACTTTGATTTTCAAACCAAAAGCACTGCAGACCCACCAGCAATGGCAGATGAATCGTTTTCAAGATGTTAAAGAATTTTACAGCAGAATAACTTTTGCTCAGCTGATCTTTTTTATGCAAAATTCTTCAGGGAGAGTTGAAAATGAATAAGGCTACCATCCACCCATCCATCCATCCATCATGTCAAAGGGCTGGTCACTCTTCTAGCTGGTCCATCTTCACGAGTCGTTGTCGATAATGGTGGTCATACAAACAAAACAAGCCGGTAAGGTACCAAACAGGAAATAGGCATAGTGTAGAGCGGATGTAGATTGACCAATCAGAGGCCTCCTGTCTGCGGCCAGCTATAATTTTGGAGAGGTGCGCCATAGTGATATTGCACATCTGCTTTCACTGTGACACACACGCAGACGACCTGGTTTCTGAGTATAAACCAGCTTTTACAGTATTATCTTAATATTTGTACTTTTTTAGTTTTTCATACA